TTTTTTTTTATTTTTTATTTACAGAATCCGCCTAAGAGTTAGAGAGATTCCGGCCAAAAGTATTCTTTGTAATTTTCATATTTCTTATCCCATCGGAGGAGTGGACAGTTTTTTTTAAAATTATATGCATGTATTTTATTTTGAAATGTATTTAATTTATTATTTATAATAGTGAATTAAATTAATTTAGTCAATTCAATAATTAATATCAAAAAGCAAAAAAAAAAAACTATATCACTTTCTTTACAAGAGCGACATCAAACAAGGACGGCATGTGGTGACACACCTAATCCATTACCTTCATTAAATAAAATAAAGTTACAATAAATGTTACAGTGATGACACAGGAAAACCGTTTGGAGGTCGACAAATGTGCCAAAACATCCGTAGTGGTATAGAAAAAAAGTAAGTTTGCTTGAAAATTAGTGTTACAGCCTGAAGAATAATTATATAAATAAATGAATAAATAAATAATAAATAAACAAAAAATAAATAATAAATAAACAAAAAATAAATAATAAATAAACAAAAAATAAAATAATAAATAAATAAACAAAAAATAAAAAAATAAATAAAAAATAAACATATTGATATTAGGGAAACTACAGTCAAATTAAAGATTTCAGGAAATTTATTGAAGAAATGTGGAAACATATTTTAATAAAAGTCAGTGCCCTTTGAGTGGCTAAAAGAACACCTCAGTCGCTTCAGAGAGTCAAGTTCTGACGCTCGATCTTCCGTTGTCCTCCTAAAATACTTCACCTCGCCATTGAACCCTCACTCACCGCCCAAGATACATCGCTAGCGGTCTACCCAAGGGTCCATTGCGTGCGTGTCGGGGTTTTTCTCGTTCATTTTGGAATAAATAGTAGTGATCAACGTCATTGCAAACTTTTCGTTATGAAATACATTTTTAACAGGCCGTGCGCGAAACACGGTATCTCGTGCTTGGTGTCTGTGTGCGAACAACAGCTACTTTCACTTTCACTTTCACTTTCACGCACACCGCAACGCAGTATTGAGAAAGCATTGCCACGACGAGTTTTGGACAGAAAAGTTCTTATTCACAGGTCCCGATAACAAAAAATTGGATAAATGTTATTCATATGTGTAGTGAATTACTTCCTCTATTGCATTGGGCAGTCAGAATCTGTTTTGTGGCACTTTGATAGCGAACACGCAATTGTCGACAAAAGGTGTGTCCTTTCGTACGTTCTTCTGTCTGTGGTCAGTGCTATTACTGTACCAGGACCATTTAGACGAATTTCTACATATTCTCTGATCGACCTGAATGAACTCGAGATCCTGCAAGAAACGGATAGTTGGATTTTTGACATGAAGCCTCTACATTTTAAACATTTTCTCAAAAACGGACCCAATTTTTTTATTTAACTTCTTGAGGATCACTTCAAAAATGGCGTAGATCTCATTTTCGGTTAACTATCTGAATGTTTGCAAATTTCAAAAATTCAATTTATTTTTGGCCTCTTCCTACAATGACTATATTGAAGATAGATATTGTTAGGAATAGGTTAGGATAGGAATAAAATTGTTCTTCAAAGACTGTTGGCACAGACATCCAAATAATTATAATTTGGCGCCGTAATTCGAACACAGCCGTTTATAATCAGTCTGGGGAAATTGCAAGAAAAGAGTACGTATTTCAAACGTGGCGTGCCGAGAATTTCCCCCCAAAAAAATCCGCTAGCTCCCCCACAAAGAGGAAGCATTTATCTCTCGTATGACTCTTCGAAACAAGTTTTTGAACTACTTTCAAAGATGCCCGGGATATTGCGCCGCGCCCGCAGAATGGCGCATTGTCGGCAGATTCACAGAACCAGACGCCTTTACATTTAAGACGCGAAGAGATCGCATTGTTTAAAGTCTGCGGTCGAGTCGTCTGATGACGGATCGCATCGCTCGTAAAACAACAAGAACAAAAAACGAATAATTACGCGCATATTGAGTGCAATGAAAGTGAATTACAAGGGGTAGTGTTCCAAAGCTAGTTGGGATTTCGTTCTCCATGCGCCAGCGCTTTGAAACGAGGCCAAACAGCAGAGCCATGTGGCTGCGCGTATGCATGAATAGCGACTGGAATCCGTAAGAACTTTTATTTTCGCCAGGACAAAGGTAACGCTGGCAATTTCTTCAACACTTAATGATCCTCGTCCCGAGGAATGCTAACAATCTTAATACTTGTCGTTTCAGGGCTTTCCTTTGGGTCGAAGAATTAGAAGGGCGTGTAACTGCCACAGTTCTTCGACATAAACATCTTCAGCTCTCCCAAAAAACTCGAATTATATTCGCAGCCTCAAAAAAGCCATATATTTAAATAAGATCATGTACAACGTTCCGAAATTATTTTTTTGCATAAAATATATACACTTTTTACACAAATATTTTCTCAAAACCACTAACTTTTTCCTTATTTTCCCCCTCGGATATAGTAAAGAGCAAGGGCTGAAAGAAAGGCGTGAAATTTCGATAAATCTTGAAATCACTGATTTATCGAAAATAATTCAAGTTCAAACTTTTTGGCCTCTTCATACAACTACAATATTGAATATAGAGGTGTGTTCTGCAATTTGAATATAGAGTTGTTCAAAACCAAATCTTCAAATAGTTATATACATTTTTTAAAAATATCAGTCGTTTTCGCATAATTTATCGTGAAATATAGGCAATTTTTGAACAATATTGTTATCAAAAACGACTTCAATTTTTTATTTAAATTTTGTGTCTTAAGTATTAGAAAAATGAAAGAAAACGTGGTGTTGGACCTTCATTTTCGGCACTCTCTACTATCGACTCTTTATATTTTTGAAAATTGCAATAAAATAACATTGCAAAAGTACAATACTAAATATAAAGATTTTCGTATTAAATGAATGCCGTTATTTAAAAAGGTCTAAAGGTGCAATGCAAGAAACTACATGCTGTTATAGCTCTACTATATTTATTTGATCTTGAGTTGTGTGCATGCTACTGTTTAGATTACCATTTTGTGAAGTTTTCTTCTGCAGCACTTGAGCTGTTGCAGTCTGCTAGTATTAGGTTTCCAGCTTTGAAATCGTGATTTCATGGTTACTGTAATTCTATGTGGATATGTTCGTTTGTTAAAGTATCACTAATGGTACGGAAGGACACGTGGAAGGCTTTCCAGAGATCTCAGAGGGATGGAAGCTGGTAAGATCGACAGAAATGTTTCCTTGCAAATACATCGCTTCTGACAAGTCGTCGGTGAATACAACGAATGCAAAAGGTTGAATTGAATTGAATTGAATTGAATTGAATTTGCCTAATTTTACGTGGCGAGACTTGACGTGGTGAGAAAGGTTGACCGGTTTTCGTGTACATCTAGGCATTGGGTGATTGTAAATACCAGAGAATCAAAAAGAAACAGTTGTGACTGATAATTTAACAAAAGAGTATATTCACTGTAGATGAGAGTATTAATTTGAGTCCCTGGAGAAAATTGCATATTTCTGATCGCTAGGGCCGAATTTGTAGCCAACTAGGGAAATGTGGAAACTAGCAAAGTTAACAGTAGCGTTCTTAGAAAGTCTTCGCAAAGCAAAGAGGTAGTGGTGTGAAGGTAATAAGCTGATCGGACACAAAGTGAAGCATATAGAAAGAAATGATAGATACATTGTAGCATGTAAGCATATTAAATCATTTTGTAACATTTATACAACGAATCCAATCCAACTTTAGTAAATTCGTTTCATTCGTAACATTTATATGAATCCAATTTTGATAATAGGCTTATTAAGAGTGTAAGTTACTTTCTGTACTTCTTATAATATCGTCGTCTGAGAAAACAACGAAAGCATTTAATTAAGCAACGAAATTCTTTTTAAATTGTTTCATGTATTTAAATTTCTTGTTATTTTTGTACTAACAGAGAAACAGACAGAGCGAAACCTCCAAGTAAAAGAGATGGCACAATTTTATTATGGTAACTAGTAATGTGTGATAGATTGGTGATTCCGGGGCTGTCAACTGCCAAGATTATTAGTCGCATAAGTGTAGTACATGTTTTTTGTTCGGAAGGAGGCGGTGATCTTCTCCCGTTGTATGTGACCTATCTGTCGGCTACCGGGGTTTTCTCAACCAGGTATCTCCCACCAGCGGGGCACCGCCCCAGCCGGGACAAGCTCCAAGCTCCCGACTGTTCTCCCAGCATCTGTAGTAGTGTAGTAGTGTAGTGCATGTGTGTGTGTGTAAAGATACTGCTCCGGCATTCGCCTGGTGTTGATCGGAGAAACCAAGGAAAACTATCGATCAGAGTATCCGGCAGTTCTCCTTCAGACAGCGGATAAAGTCGAGATCTAGCTGGTGTCGAAAATTCTGGCACCGTCGAGACCCAAACATAGGACCTCCCGGTGAGAGGTACGGCAGTGACGTCAGTTGATGCTCTGAGTCACGTCTCCTGGTAACTAATAATCTTTAACACAAAATTATATACCTAATTTGAGACTTTTGGTTTGTTGCCACAAATCGTCGCATTTGATATGATGTAAATGATAGGTATGCAGGCGTAAACAATTTCAAACGAACTTATTTTATATGTGTAGTATATGGTCCTCTATATATTTTAGACAGTCAATTTCGTAATAAAATGAGAAATATCCATAGTTTAATTTCTTTATTGCAATTTACATTCAATTATAAGACAGCATTCTTGGCTATCCGGGATGAGCCGCGTCTCGGTCAATTGTACTGACGTTTCGGCCATCTTGCTGTGACCTTCTTCAGAGCTATACTATACCTATAGCTCTGAAGAAGGTTACAACAAGATGGCCGAAACGTCAGTACAATTGACCGAGACGCGGCTCATCCTGGATAGCCAAGAATGCATTGACTCTGGCCACGGAAGCCTACGAACCCATACAATTATAAGACAGTTATAGCATAAGAAGATGGAAATTATTTGATCCAAACGATTTAATGTTTCTTATAAACAGGCTCGAATTCCGAACCGGAAGCGGAGGTGGCTATGGGCGGCGGAAGCGAAAGCGGACGGTGGCGGCGCCTCGCGTCAGGACGCCGCAGGGGGAGCGGTCGCCGGGCGCCGTCACGTGGACGCCGGCGTCGGCCCGAGCCCAGGCCAGCGCCGCCGGCGCCAGCGGCGCGTCCCCCACGCACAGCTCCCGCGCCGCGCCCGCCGGCCCCGCGCCCAGCCACCCGCGCAGCGCCGCCACCTGCACCTGCGGCAGCCCCGGCAGCGCTCGGGTAATGGACGAAGGTCAGGCCTTGTACTTGCTTTTCTCTCTTTAATTTAAGGCCGCGTCAACATTAGGTCATTAGCGACCACTATTGCATTAAACGGTATGGTAACAGTGAAGATGACATGATATGTGTATATTTATATAATGGGTGTTTATGCTCGAAAGGATTGTATTGTAAATTGTTTTTGGATTGTAAATGTACAGATATTATAAAACTGGAGGGTTATGGATTCCACCTGACAATCAGCCAATTGTAGCCAAATATTATTATTATTATTATTATTATTATTATTATTATTATTATTATTATTATTATTGTATGGTGATAAGAGGGGAAAGGACGAAAACAAATGCAACCATGCTCGAGGCGGATCTCGAACCTGCGATCCTTCGGTGCGAGATCGCTACGGCACTACTGCCTTGACGATCTCAGCCATCCGGACCGGCACTTGGGTTTTTATATCTTGGCGCGTGAGGGCCTGTTTTCTCCATGGAATATCTCACGTCATTTCGCGTCTTTCTCGGTCGTGTCGCTAGATGTTGCATGGTCGCCAGCACCGCTCGCTACGGTCGCGATCATGCTACATCTAGCGGCACGATCGAGAAAGACGCGAAATATTCCATCGTGAAGACAGGCTCTCATGGGCCAAGAAATAAAAATCCAAGTATAGGAATATAATTTTTCCTTTTAATGACATTCAATATATTTAGCAAAATCGATGTATATGAAATAATTTTGAAACCAAAGAGCCATCAGGCGCCCTGTCTGGCGTGTGGTGACACTCAGGTTTCGCACCACGCTCTTGTTCTGTTATTGTGTTGACTGCATTTACTCTTCGGCCCTTCGCTTTTGGGTGGGGGTCTTGTCGCTGGAGCGCTGGCTGAGGGGAATACCTATATTCTGTCTTCTCCTACTCTAGGTGCAACCTAACTTATGAATTTCGCTTGTATTGAAAGTTAACAAGTTAAGTCAATTATTCAGTGCATTGGTTATGAGTCAGAGGGATTGAGTGTATTGGTCAGAGGCCTTGCTCACCGCGTAATCTGACTTCTATCTTTCTACTTTCATTTTAGTCACTGGCAGGGAAAAATATTTCTGAAGTTGTATATGTACGTCCTGAAATTTGATTCTATTACGTCAATGCATATGCAGGGCTTTTAACGCTCTATTAATAGTTCTTTAATTCAATAATAATTTAACATTAAGAGTACATTTATTGAAATAATTAAGAAATGAAGTTTTTAAGATTACAAAACAAATGTATGTGCATTTTTCGAGAACATATTGCGCAAGGCCTCAGTAGCCCTGCACTCCACCATCTCTCTCTTTCGCTTTTTCTTTCTTTCTCTTTCTTTCTTTCTTTCTGCGTTCTCTGGTTCTTCCTCGCTTTGTAAACAAGAATTCACTTCTATCTCCGTTTTGTTGTTCACCCCCCTTTGGTCCCCTTCCCTGCATTAGCGTTCAGTTGTCAGATTCCTCCCTTCAACACAATACTCCTAACATTTCCTTCTTCATAGTTCAACTGGTACGTTACTTATCAGCTATTCAGTCATGTAATATACGCGTATCCTCATAATGCTTCTTTCACAATTTAATAGTTCTAGAGTGATTTGCTACTCAGTCTGTAATGTAAATTAATTGTCTCGTGTATATCACTGAAACCATCTGAAATCCACCAAATATATTTTTTTTTAAATGCAATTGCATCAAGAATAATTCGCTGTCCTTTTAAGAATAATCAATTTTGAAATAATTGAGAAAGTAAGGGCACTTGGTACTTTCAATCTCCCATCCCTCTATTACAAAAATTCTAAAGACGTTTTAATAAAAATGGACTACTTCGTATACACACCTCTGCGATGTTATTACCCTCAAATCCAGCATATGTGAGTTTTGGTAATTTGTTGACGTCCAGTTCAGGCATCTCAGTTAACTGATTGTTGTGCATACTGAGATACTCAAGAGATTTGAGATCAGTGAGAATACTTTTTGGTACAGTTGTTAAAAGATTATTATCGAGATAGAGAATAGTCAGATTCACCAACCCTGAAATGAAGTTGAAGGTCATTAGTTTTGGAATATTAGTAATCGGTCAAGTCAATTTCACTATATGTATATTCATTATTAAATGTCTCATAATCTTCTCTTCAGTTAAGTATATCTTTTTTCATCACATTTTTACATTAAACTGTTTTTATAATGATTATTACATACTTATTAATGAAATTAACTAATCGTAAAACGTCAGTGTAAACTGTATTTTCATTTATTCCAGGTAAGGAATATTGTGGCTGTGAAAAAATGTATTTCATTGTCTTACAGAATCAAAGTTGTTGTTCAGTGGCATCACGGGAAACCTAAGAATGCTATGAAAAGTCTATTTTTATTCTACAAATCCACATAGTTTGTATGTTGCTACGCACTTGTTTCTATAAAGGTTACTTTAAAACTTGTAAAGTTACCAACGCCGTGCACATGTAAAAGTAATGTTTCATTAGAAAACTAATTTAACTATGAAACATACTCTAAAATACATATTTTGTTTAATACTTACCAGCAAAAGCGTCGTCAGGAATAGCACTCAGTTGATTGCTTCTTAGGTTTATAAGAGTGAGAGCTGGAACCAATGCGAATGTACCTTCTGGTAGTGAGGTCAGTTTGTTGTTTTCCATTTCCAATCCCTTAAGATTATCCAACCCCTCTAGGCTGGGAATCACAGTTAGTTGATTTCCATTAAAGCCAAACGATTCCAAAGATTTTAAACCGACAAATATGTCCTCGGGCAGAAATGATAGTCTATTTTCGTCTACTCCGAGATTTTTCAATGAAGTCATCGGTGAAAAAACACCTGGTGGCAAGGTCGTGAGATGACTTCGACTGAGGGTCAACGTTTCGACTTTACCCAATCCGACAAATGCTCTTGGTGATAATCCCTCGAGCTTGTTGTCGCCCATGAAAAGTTCTCTAAGATTCGGAACTCCAACGAATAATTCATCTGGAATCATCTTCATCTCCTGAATGGCGTAATTTATGTAGAGGGTTTCCAAGCGATGTAATCCGGAGAATGTTCCTCGCTGTAAAGATGTAAAATAGTTTCCAAAAATACTGAGATACGTGAGATTATAAAGATCAGAAAACAATCCGGGAGGAATGTCCTTGATCTGTATTTCACCCATTTGAAGCATGCGCAGTTTGGACAGACCGGCAAAGGTATCACTTTCTAGTGATTCAAACTTATTGTGTTCAATGTTCAGGTTCGTTAAATCTACCATGGAGGAAAACGCTTTAGATGGCAAATGCGTTAGACTATTCATGGACATTTCCAGAATCTTCATTTTTGTCATTTTCTCCAGCTCCTTCCAAGGAACAGAAGTTAATGCACATTCTTTCATATCAAGCGACTCTAAATTTCTCAGCGGTGCAAACAGACCTTCTGGGAAGGAAATGACCTGATTGCCACTGATATCCAGTTCGGCGAGCTCGGTCAAGCCGGCGAAAACGTCACCCGGGAATGTCCTAAGTTCACAACGAGCCAGTCGAAGAGATCTGAGTCCCGGCAGCTGTCTAAACTGGGCCGGAAGCAACTGCCCGAGGGGACATTCCGACAAATCCAGGCTTTCCAACGCAGGCAACTGCCGCAAAGTGTCGACCGGCACGGCGACGAACGGGTTTCGCGCGACGGAAAGACACCGCAGCCGCCCCAAGTGCGCGACCTCCGCGACCGGAAGCGCCGACAGCTGGTTCTGCGAGAGGTCCAGCTCTTCGAGGCGCTCCAGGCCCGCGAACAGGCCGGGCGGGACGGCCGCCATGCAGACGCTCTCGAGCCCCAGGTGGCGCAGGCGCGCGAGGCCCGCGAACGCGTCGCCGGGCAGGGGCGACAGCGCGTTGCAGCCCACGTCCAGCCACTCCAGCAGCTCGCACCGCCGCAGGGCGCCCACGTCGTCGACGCCGGCGCGACTGGCGTCCAAGCGGCGCAGAGCGCGCGGCGACGACGGCAGCTGCAGGGGGCGTTTCGCAGGGGCAGCGGACTCCGACATGGTTACAGCCTGTAATGGCAGAGCAAAGGGAATGTATTACCGTTGCGAGAAGATTCCTGATTAAACGTTTGCATTGATTCAATTATTTATAGTGGTAAAAATATAAGAACTATTTTTTTTTTCAATTTGTTGCACTGTCGTAACACGTCTCTCGAACATTTGTTGGGCATTTCGGAGGGTCAGCGGATTCCGACATGGTTACAGCATGTAAAGACAGAGCAAAGGGAATGAATTACCGTTGCGAGAAGATTTCAAATGAAGCGTTTGCATTAATTCAATTATTTTTAGTGGTAAAAACTGTAAGAACTACTTTTTTCAATTTGTTGCATCGACGTTGCCGAAACGCGTCTCTTGAAACCTTGTTGGGCGTTGAGCGCTTTCCCTGGAGTAATCCTCCGTTACTAATGGAAAGTAATTACTTTCTTTGTCAAGTCTCGTTACGTCGCGGTCAGTCAGTGCCTTTTATTCCGTGGGCCAGCGGTTCGACGCCGGTAGATCCCGGAGTTCCAAGACGGTCACCCAACCAGGAAGCCGTGGGTCATCCATAGGAACCCCTGAGTATCGAATTAGCTTAACCTCCGTGACTTCACGAAGCTTAGTACGAATAAATGAATTTGACTAACGACGCTGGCTATTTATGTGACGTATGGGGAGAAGTGCAATATGTGTGCGTTTTCCATCTGATCTTTCCCGCACTCTAGAATCTCTTCCCGACCGTTTTACTATTCATAATTCAATTATGAGTATAGAAGACCAACAGCGACGTTATCCCGTCTATATGAAGACGAAACCTCGCTGATTGGGAAAAATATTATGCGGATAGTATTTCAAACATTTAAAAACTCTAAGCGAACATTAAATTGTCAATAGAATTAAAAAAGCATAACCACATGAATTTCCTAGATATTTGTTTATTAACATAATACGTTTTTTCACAATTTTTGCCAAAAACAACTAGAATGGGTAGTGAATTATTTATCAAAACATCCATTGCGCCACAAAGTAGCAATAATTTCCACTGTTGCAAAACATTATTTGAAAACAGAAAATACCTCAAACAGCGTCTAGGGTATTAATTGACAAATGTATTTATAAAAAATTGGGCTGTCTGAGGCGTCACGTAGACAAAAAGAAATAAATAATAATAAAAGAAATAAAGTACTTTGAATAATTTTTCCATATGCTCCTACTTTACAAAATAATATGAGCCCAACAATAGCAAATAATTTTGAAGTTGCATATGGATTAATAAATAATAGACAAATTATTAGGGACGTAAGTGATTCATGAGGCAGGTTTGACGAAGACAATTTGGAACAATGCACCAAATTTCTTAAAAAACTGTTATTTCACTTACATTTGTCACACTGGTAACAAAACAGACACAATATAAAAAATCCAAAATACGCAAAAATGCTTGCCTAAAAATAGACATTATGTTACCATATTGTGTTTGAAGACGCGCATAATTTAGGGCAATGAAATAATGTAGCCAGGATTGATGGCTGGGAATATTCAGTATCAACCTTACCTCAGTATGAATTAAACGACAGAAAGACATCTAAAATATAATAAATGATATTTATTACCAACATAAAAGAAGAATACATAATTCCCACTCACACACATTGCGCATCCGACTACTCTCCATAGCAGTAACTTCTGGAATGTTAATTATTGACAAAACTTATTTACAGATATTTACAGAGTACCGGTTTTAATCGTTCCCGAAATATTTACTGTAAGTTTGCTTGAACAAAGTACAATTTGATTCCTGCATTTTATTTGTTTATAAACTCCTGATTATTGAAAACAAAATAGCTTTGTCACTTAAAGTTCATATCATTAGTAAAACGTGAATAGAAAATATACTTTTAAGCAAGTTTTGAAGCCCACAATATTTCAAAAACTTGTCCATGGTCTAAGGCCATCTTCAAATATGTATTTACAGCTCCCTAGGACGAGGTGAAGCCGAAAGTCTCGAAACATTGACTAACATTGACCCACAAATATTTTGATAAACTGATTTTTTAAATTTAATGTAATATCATAAGAAAAAATGGACAGTGCATAATATTGCCATTAACAAAAAAAGTAGTCAATAGGAGTGTCATTGTCATTAACGAGGCCGATCTTCATACCATATTTGAATTTCCCTTTACTATGATTACGAGAAATTGAAAACCTCTCTTTTACGAGTGTTGAAGCACACACACATTTAGTTTTGTCGTCATGAAGTTCAGGAAATAAATGTTTCAATGCCGCATACGAAATGTTTTATCGCATACAACATTTTATCGCATACAACGTTTTATCGCTGAGTGTGCGTTTGACGCCTTCTCGGACTTTTTCCGCCGTGTAGTCAGATACGCTACCTGCTTGAATGCTCGACTAATAATGGTAATGACATCGAAAGCTGACTGATACATTTTGATTATCTGAATGTATATGAGTGTCGTGAGCACTCTAAAATAAATATTGAGGACTGATTGAATTAATTAATTCGTCAAACAGCAATAAAATGATTGATTTGAAAAAAAATTAATGAGTGAATGTTAAGGTTCACTCCATCATAACAGAGATAGTAATAAGGGTCCCACCTGTAGATAATGCAGCGTTGTATGTCCATCCTTTTCAATGCCGCATACGTTATCATTCAGCTGTATCTTTTTCACTTCTTCTTGCAGGGCAGGATGAATGTGGCAGAACTCTCGGTCGCTGAAACTCACGTGTCTCGCAGCGAATACCGAACATGACAGCGCCCGTCTCGCCCTGCGGCCGCCTCAAGGTCGCCGGCGGTGGAGCGAGAGATCGAACGCCGCGGGGTCGACGTCGTATCGATCTTCGCCGCCCGGCGAGGTCGCGTGACGCAGCAGCCGAGCGCCGCGTAGTGCTGGCAGCGCAGCCAATAGGCACTCAGGCCTCACGTGACGCGTGGCAGAGAGGGAGATTTAAAAGTGGACAGAGAGCGGTCGTTAAACTTATCATGGATTTTAATTAGCGGCTTCTTTACAATACTGTAGATTACTCGCGGTCCTTTATAAATTATACACAATTAGGATAAACACATCTTTTGCGGACGTTTAGAGATCTAACAATGAAACATCAACTTCTGTCAAATATTATTAAAAAAAAGTCATATGCCATTCCATTCTTCACAAGAAACTATTTTGTTTTGGAAAATGTTACCACCAAGTTCATAAAGTACAGCCCTTTCAAAGTGCTAATTTTGAACTTGCTTAATTATAATTTGGGAAATTGTATTTCATTGACTATACAGAACAAATTACTCTTCCTTGCCCATTACTTCACACACTGAAATTTCAAGTCAATTCACAAATTAAATTAAATTTATTTATTTCAAAATCAGCACCGAACTTTATAAGTTTCATTATACTTCGATATAGAAGGGAATATTATAATAAAATATTTTTCTTTCTGTATGACGAAACCTCATGAGGCACCTCCTAGACGAGGTGGTAATTGTTAAAAGACAGGTATAATTCGGTGATCTTATTCAATTGTTTGTGGAAAGTTATTTATTTATTTATTTATTTATTTGTTTATTTATTTATTTGCTTTATATATACCGATATTTGTGAAACTAATGAAATATTAGTACCGTAATCATTACAATATCCGAATTGCGAACTTCACAACATGGAAATGAGAGAAAGTTTCGCTATTTCATGCGTCCCGAACATCATCGTTGGTGGTTTTTTGTGCGTACGAATGGTGTAACTGTAAATGTGGAAACTGCTAGCTCGGTGTTCCGTGTTTCTGCCCGAACAACACGTGTTTGTGGATTATGCAACGCGGCGACCAACTAACCATGCAGTAGCCGTCGCGCACAACAGTGGGTCCAAATGACATCCAACAGTAGGTCCAAATGATAGGGCAAGTGAGAACCATTATAATAATTCAACGTCTATTTAGTTATTACTAAATTAATAGATGGTAATAACTATTACTAGATGAACCCGTGCACACATTCCAATCTTCGTAATTTTTTTTCTAAGGCTTTACGTCCTTAAGGGAAACATATTCGACTATATTCTAGACACCAACACCCTTGCTGGATCCTCTGAGCTGGGGTCAGCAAAACGTGAGGCCCTCTGCCACAACGCATACATGAGGGACAAGGGACATGCCTAGTCGGGATTCGAACTCGCTACTCTTCGGACCGAAGCGCTGAGTTGGTACACGCTCTTAGCCACCTCGAGTATCTAGGTCGACCCTTTTGTAATTCGTTGTTTAAAAAGTGTAAAAGAACTTCCTACTGGATCCCAACATCAGACCAGAATCTGGCCTGACACATTGAAGCATTATAGTCATGGGTCTATTAACGTGTCAATTTAATTTTACGTGCAGCATCAAGGCAGTTTTTGCTCGTTTTTGACCACCCTGTTACGGAGTAGAGTCACCTGAAGAGCAGAAACCGCACTCAGTTCTTCGCTGCATTTGACCCCCGAACGTCTTTCCAAGTTCTCTCCGACATATTTCCTTCGTGTGTCCTCCACATATTCACTCGCACGCCCACAGAGTGTTCCCTCGCATGTTCTCTACATGTTCTTTCCTCCGATCGATCAAATCCGTTACAAAGATCAGCGATTTGGAACAGATTTCTTCGAATTTTGAGAAACATTACAAAAAATCACAGGAACATTTTCAAAATTTTCTCAAACAGTCTTCAATTTACTTAAAGTACAAGAGTAGAATTAAATGCATTTGTAAAGATGGCGTAGGTCTGACTTTCACTGTTACCCCCGAATTTTTGAAAGCTCTAAAAGTTTGAAATTGTTTTGAGCCCCTTTCTCAACTACTTCATTGAAGACAGTAATTGTTTCTCAGATAAAATTTGTATTCCATAATTAGTTCTTTAATGTTTCGTAAATCTTTGTAATTTTTGCGTAATTTTGAGTGAAATATGGGCAATATTAAAACCTAGATTTTCTAAAACTGGCTCCAATTTTTTCTTTAAACTCTTTCGAGGTTTTGTAAATCTAACACCTGAATAGAAGGAAAGCCCTTATCCCTTGTCTCTTCGGGGTGAATAGTCCAAAAGTAACGGTACAATGATATTTACCAGTTCATACCAGAGGACGATGGGGGAAGATGGGGGTCTTCTAGCCATGGATTCACCACCTCATCCTATAGCCTAGCAAACTGGTCACAAACCGCACGCGATCTTTCCTTCCTCTTCCTTGTCGTACACTCCTTCCTTACTGACACACACTTAAGCGCACATGCACTACATTACCATACATGTCGGGAGACCGGTCGGGAGCTTAGAGCCCATCCCAGCTTGGGTGATGCCCCGCTGATGGGAGATACCTGGTTGGGGGAAACCCCACTAACCGACGGTAGGTCAGCGCCGGATTTCGTCATACGAGGAAGGTCCACCGCCACCTCCCAAGCGAAACACACGCCCTACACTTACAGCCCCCATTTCGTGCCTAACATTTCAGCTCTTACTCTTCTGCCCTGTCCCTACTCCCCGGCCTTATCTCCCCCGCCCCAACTCCTTGCCCCTACGTGCCCACCTACGCCCCTGTCATCTGCGTCCGGCCTTATCTCTCCTCTCCAGTGCCTTGAAGTTCGTCGCCGCACTTGCGATGCACTTGCTCCCCCCTTCGGAGCCCCTGCCGCCCGCTGCGCGACGCGCTGGCGCGGGCAGTGCCGCACAGTGCCCGCCCGGCAGCCGTTGGGCATGGACGTTCCCCGCGGTGCACGTGGCCTCGGCACCGCCGTCGCCCTCGCCCTCGCGTTGCTCCACTGCGCAGGCGCGGCCCGCCCGCGGCCCTGCGCATGCGCGCCGCCGCTGCTCAACTGCTCGTTGCGCGGCCGCAAGGCGCTCGTCGCCGGCGACTTGTGCGATGGACCACTCACCCAGGTACAGAGCGATGGTAATGAGAAGCGACCGTTTTGACATCTAGTGCTGCCAACGTAACTGAAGGTTCTGTGGTCGTTGTGTCCTTCAGCTCAATTTGACTCTCCTTCTTTCGTTGGTTCGCAGTTGGCTAATTTGTAAATGGCATAACTAGTATTTCTATAACTAAATAGGTGAAAAATGTGTCAGAAGCAGTTGAAAACAACAAATGATTAACAACAGAGCGAATATTAACACAACGAATAACTATAGGTATCATTGTGCGACCAGTTAAAGTAGATATTACCAATGAAAATGTTAATAAAAATCGTAGTCAGAATAGTGAATTAACTCGCTGAACTACTGAAGTTGAACATAACCACAAGTGTATTGCCAGACAGCGAATTATACAGAAAAATTTCCATATCTGCCGCTGGCAGGAATCAACTGTTGACGGTTTCTTCCAATCGGGAGCGTTCAATTATATTGTGATTTATTCAACTCTGCCCCTGGCAGGTATCAGCTGTTGACGGGTTCATCATCGGGAGCGTTGAAGCTCCCGATTGGATGAAACGGTCAATAGTTGATACCTGACAGGGGAAGAGTTGGATAAATCGCAGTAGAGCTATGTTACAAGGCCTCACGGCAAATATCATAAGCCAAATAATACATCCCATGTCCCACAAATTTCCAAGGACATGCCTTCTGGTAATAACACATTTTGAAAAACTTAAGTTTAATGTTGGATAAGTCTTTTATTCAATGGGAAGGTCTGGTGCTCAACCGCGGTTTTCGCAATGAGGTACATCGGATAAACATCTTCTGTATTCACAGGCATCCTGTCGTTGGTCTAAACACCGCGAAACGCAATGATGTTGGCCCACCCTTGGCCTTGATGACAGACTTGATTTCACTCTCGCAGGCATACTTTCAAACAGGTGCTGGAAGGTTTCTTCAGGAATGGCAGCCCATTCTTCACGGAGTGCTGCACTGAGGATAGGTACCGATGATTATCGATGGGGCCTGGCACGAAGTCGGCGTTCCAAAACATCCCCAAGGTGTTTGATAGGATTCACGTCAGGACTCTGTGTAGGCCAGTCCATTACAGAGATGGTATTGTCGTGTAACCAGTCTGCCACAGGTCGTGCAATATGAACAGGTGCTTGATCGTGTTGAAAGATGCAATTGTATCCCCGAATTGCTCTTCAACAGTGGGCAGCAAGAAGGTGTTTAAAAATATCAACGTTGGCCTGTCCAGTGATAGTGCCGCACAAATCAGCAAGGAGTGTAAGCCCTCTCCATGAAAACCACTATCACCCATTTGGACGTGTCCGGATACTTTTGATCACATGGCGTAGTTGAGCTCGGGTCTGTGATTGTAGTATATACCCGCGACGTCACCGATGTTTAACCTTGGCTGTCGCCCCCGCTGTCAGGTGGACCTGTCGCTCAACCACTTCAAGGAGCTGCCCGCGGCGCTGGGCCCCACCGCGCTGCAGCTCAACCTGAGCTTCAACGCGCTGAGGGCGCTGCCGCACCCGCCGCTGCTCAACCCGGCGCTCGCGGTGCTGGACGTGGCCGAGAACCGCATCGAGAACGTCACCGACGAGCTCAGCTCCCTCTCCGCGCTGCAGGTGGGTCGCTGCAGGTGGTGCGCTTCAACCCCACCTCGATCTCATCCTGTCTTCGGTGGGTCAAGGCCTCTGACCGGAAGGTCCTAGGTTCGCGACCTGACGGTGGCAGGGCTTTTGACACTGGCTTGACAGCCGGGTCTAGGTCAGCCCCTATCTGGAGGACAATTCTAGCGACCGGCCGCTCTGATCGGTAGTTTTACGAGGTGTCTCCTCTCAACACCAGGCGAATGCCGAAGGAGTACCCTCACAAACGAACCACGAACTCTGTGCGATCTTTCCTTCCTCGTCCTTGTCCTATCCTCACCTCCTTCTTTCAGATACGAACACTTACATGCACCACACTACTACACACGTGTATGCAGCTTGGAGCTTGTCGGGGCGGGGGGAAAGTATGTACAAGTAGGCTTCCGTGGCTCGAGTTCATGATTTCTAGGTTGTCCGGGTGACGCCGCGCCGTTGGCAGAGAGGCCGGCGTTTCGCTTGTCATCTCGCAGGCAGAGTAGTGAGTACTGGTCACTACCCTGAAGAAGCCTGGAACATGTTAGGCGAAACGTCGGCCTATCTGCCAACGACGCGGCGTCACCCGGACATCCTAGAAGTGGGGGGGTAAAGTATGCCCCTCTCTCTGTTAGGTGGTGTTTGGTTGGGGGAAACAACTCTAGTCGACGTTTAGCTAGCTGTTGGATCTCGTCTAGAAGAACACAACTTTCTTCTGAAAAAAAATCTTTGCTTTCCTGAGAAAAAATACATTTAGTGTGCGGGACTAACGACAGCAGATGACATGGCCGGAAACAACAAATAAGAAAGCGCTCAATCGAATTTCACGCTTCACAGTTCTGCTTACACTTCTATTAATTTTCTCGAAAGCTAATGAAAACTAGGAAGATCGTTACTTCATCGATGCACAAGGGCAGAAAATGCTATGTGTAAAGTTGAAAAATATCTTTAAAGTAGTTCACAAACAGCTGGGGAACAAATATCTTGTTGTTGAGGTCATAATACACGAAGCCGGGCAAAACTGATTTGTACTATTTCAGCGTGCTATTCTTGAACAATAATGCTTCATCTGTATTGCAATTCCACTCAATTTGTAAAAATACGAATGATAAAAAGATAAAAGAAAAAGTAATTGCTGAAGCACCAAAGGTGCTTAATTAGACCTTTACAATTGTAATAATCAAGTTTACATGAAACTGAAGAGAGATGTTTGCGTTGAAGTTTTTCCCATATATTGAATCCTAGGTAAATGTAGAATATTACGTAAATGGTACATAAAAATATTGTAGTTATTGTTATTCGTTGAGTTTTCAGATAAATTTCAGTTTCATTGAATGTACTAAATTGTGAAAAAGTACCTAGAAAAAGCAAGAGTTTCTGCTTAAAGGTCAACAAAAATCGTTATAAATAATGTTTGGTTTTGTAGATTGCAAATCTTATTCACTTATGTATCATCTTATACAGAAAGAAAGAATGCTACTATAACAATGATATTAAATGAAAAGAAAAAAAATTCAAAGTATCTGGTAAACCTTGTTTTTCAGCGTCTCAACAGTAAGAATTCCACATATTTCACCTCACAACTTAATCTCAGCTAGATTCGACTACTGTCTCCTTGACCCGCTGAGGTTATGATGTCAGCCATACGCTGTGTTGCAATGATTCTGTTATCGTATGACCCATTGAAACACACCGCCTGGCTTAAACGAAAACGAGAAATAATAAATTTGATGTAGTCATCGTTTGATGTAACAGATCCCATTACGATGGTGGAAAAAATATGATTGAAAGACAGAAATTACTTACACAGATACACAATAGGTTGGTACACAGGTGAGAGATGAGTATATATTGTAAATAGAATGTGTTTTGAAAAATATTTTTATCTCAATTTTAGTTCTTAGTAGCTTTTTGTCCCTAAAACGTTTATTTCTCTTGGCAATTCAGAAGGAATTCTTTTGCTTTTCACTAGAAAATGTATGGCTTGTACCGACCCTGCAAATATTTTCGGTTCAGTAAAAATTTAATTAAAATGACATAATATTGTCAATACTTCCTTCGAGTTTGTACTGTGTAAAAATTGTATTACAATGTGTGATGAGTGAGTGAATGTGTCATGTGGTCACAAAATAGGCTTACTTAATTTCATGGCCCTATATTCTTCTAGTTTGGAAAGTCATTGGTAGTTTTGGATAAATCCATTTGGAATTAAAAGCTCTTGTAAAAAAACAGACGCATCCACAAGACGCACTCCGAACATGAACTGTGACATAAAATAACTAGCGATGCCAAAACAACAAAAACTTCAATTAAACCAAACATTTGGGTCACTTTTTGAAAAAACAAATTTAAAATGTCCTTCAGACTTCATGTTAAGTATCTTCAAAACTCAAAATATGTTTGAAATCCGCAGAGAATAGGGTTTGGCCACATAAATCGGGGAACCCAAAACAAAATTGGAATTGTTGGAAAAAATCGTCTGAAAGGTGCATGGCGTAGCGTTGACCACAAGCGGATGGACAGACGAACAAACTTTTGATCTATTCCAATTTTTGGGTATCAGTTTTCAAAAAGCGTGGATTCGGACTACATAACTTATTCGAGGAAGTGATTTAGTTTAAGTAGGAACGAAATGTAGATATTTTTCGATAAGAGGGGCCCACAGTACGAGTTTTTCTCACCAAAATTTGTAATATTGCGTTGCACCCTTACAATGCATTCTCTTTACTACGTAAGTACGCAGTAAGGGGGGAATGTAAAGTGCGGGATAGAATAATTGACGAATATAATATACCAAAAATAAAACTTACAAAACTGTCTTCTAGCTAATCCATTGTGAGTTAGAGGTTAGATGTTTTTCATGCCCATGAAGGCACACTAAATACTTTTAACAATGTTTCACACTATTACATCTTAATACTGTCATTTTTAGTTTGTCGAATACGTACGTATATACGGAATAATGTGCATAGAATAGAGTTATGTATATAGAAATGCAATAGGGTAATATATTTTGAAAGTTATGTAATGCTGTTGAAAACCATATCGTGATATTAAGGAAAATACAAGTTTTATGATCCCCTGATACCACAAGATCCTGACAACTCCTTTATATGCCAGTCAGTCAGTCCCTCTGAGTGAGTTCTCAAATCTCAGTCGCAACCTGTTTCAGTCAATCGGAACCTCCGTCAATCTGTTCAACCGTCAGTCAGTCAAACAATCCATCACTCAATGTCCCTGTAAATCAGTCAATATGTCCCTCTGTGATTCAATATGTCCCTCTGTGAGTAAGTAGGTCCCTCTGTGAGTCAGTAGGTCCCTCTGTGAGTCAGTAGGTGCCTCTGTGAGTCAGTAGGTGCCTCTGTGAGTCAGTAGGTGCCTCTGTGAGTCAATATGTCCCTCTGTGGGTCAATATGTCCCTCTGTGGGTCAGTAGGTCCCTCAGTCAGTAGGTCCCTCTGTCAGTCAGTAGGTCCCTCTGTCAGTCAGTAGGTCCCTCTGTCAGTCAATATGTCCCTCTGTGGGTCAATATGTCCCTCTGTGGGTCGATACGACCCTCTACCTGTCAACCTGTCCCTTTGTCAATCTGTCCCTTTGTTTCTCCCACTGTCGATTAGCATGTTTTTATGTCAGTCAACACGACGGAGGAGCGACAGGGGAAGGAGGAGCCAAAAGGGGAAGAGCGGGATAGCAAGAAGGGCAGGGAGAGTAGAATGAGCGGGAGCGGAAGAAGCGAAAGAAGAGGGAGGAGTAGTGGGAGCGGAAGCGGAATTTGGAGCGAAAAACGGGTAGAGCGGGAAGTCCGGAAGACGCGGACGGTGCGTGGTGAGTGAGAGAAACTGATAAAGCCGAAGGGGCAGGACGGACATCACAGGTCGTATGGTTTGCGTGAGAGGGACGGGCAAAAGGGAGATGCTGCGTAATAATATTGGGTGGTATTAATGAATTTCCCGGACAACGCCGAGGAAACAGGCAGTATAAAACAAATTCATTTCCCTTCTGTTTCCAGGTGTTAAATCTCAGTCGCAACCGAGTGGTCAACGTAGTGCTACCATCACCGTGCGCACTGCGCCATCTGAACCTGCTTGACACCTTAATCACCACCTTGGGAAACCTGCGAGAATGCCAGCGTCTGGAGTGGTTGGACGCAAGTGGCAACAGCCTCGCCCCTCTGCCTAGTGACTCCTTTGCAGGGCTCTCGCAGCTGCGGTATCTGGGCCTCATGTTTGTCTCCATGGAGGAGGTGCCGCAGGGTCTATTCTCGGGGCTGGCACTGGTCGAGGAGTTGAAACTCGACGGCAACCGATTGAAAGCTCTTCCCGTCGCGGAGTTTGCACATTTAACTCGCCTCCGAGTGCTCACCTTGCGGCAAAACCCCCTATCGACGCTGCCTTCTGAAACTCTGGAACGTCTTCCAGCATTGGAATTCCTGGATTAGTCGGGTTGTCAGTTGAAATCACTCCCGTCCGCGGCGTTCCAACGTATCCCTGGGCTCACAAATCTGTTATTGGCTGATAACGGGTTCACCGAGTTGCCAGCTGATGGTTTTGCTGGTTTAAGCAATCTTACCAAACTGGATCTCATGTACAATCGGTTAACGACTGTGCCGTTGGCTGGTTTGTTGAAATTAGAACAGCTGATAATGTTGCGTTGTGAGGTACAAACTCTGCCTTGGGAAGATTTGGCGAGGATGACTAATATGACAAAACTTAATTTGTCTCACAACAATCTAACTTCGTTGCCGACCAGACCTTTCTCTTCTATGTCAAATCTCGAATCTTTAAATATTGGTTACAACCCGATTTTGTCTTTAAGTACTGATACATTTACGGGTCTTGCAAAACTAAAACAGCTCTCAATGATAGAAATGCAGTTATCATCTCTATCTCCTGGTTTGTTTTCGGATTTGCACGATCTAACATATCTAAATTTATTCGGAAACCAATTGTCTACCGTCCAGCGAGAATCGTTCTCAGGGTTGGTTAGCTTGAAAACCCTATTTCTACACGGAACCAAGTCGATGAACATATTGCCTGACGAACTTTTTGCAGAAATGCCTAATCTCGAATCTTTATTCATTGATGGAAATAATATCACACAAATATCCCCAAGAACATTTGCTGGACTCGAACGTTTGGAAACTCTCAGTCTCAGTGACAACCATCTTACGACTCTTCCTTCGGAAGTGTTTTCATCTCTACGCACGTTGAAAAATATCAATCTAGTCAAAAACTTATTTGAGACACTTCCTATTGATATCTTTGCAAGTATGATGTCTTTAGAGACAATTTCAGCTTCAAACAATCAATTGACTGAAATTCCTCGCATTCAAGGCTTAGAGAATCTGAAAACTCTGTTTCTGGAACACAACAATCTTACCTTTCTTCCAGACGACTGTTTTGTAGGTAAGTAACCAACTTTGGTAATGATACAGACGAACGCAGTATTGCATTTCTTAATGCCAACTGCTGTTGGACTACCTCATTAACGATTTTTAAACCGTGGTCATTCTTTATCTTTTGAACAAATTGTTTGATGTTGAATTTTCCATGTTAATTCTAATTTTTTTATCTGCCCAAAAATGTTGACTCAAAATTAACAAAATATCATCAAATCGATGTATCAAACTATATTTAATAGCTTTATTTTATATTTATTTCTTAGAATATTATATACCATGATCGTCTTGAATCATAGTTTTAAGAAAAGTTGCCTGATTATGCGAGTTAGAGCCTTCTGGAAAGGAAATCGTATCTTACCATCTGCTAGGGGGAATATCCTTATTTTCTCGAGAACTTTATTCTTCGCCTAATTTTTCTTAAGAATTCAACTAGTGGTCTATAACATGGCACAAACACTCGTAAGTGTGGCCCTTACGTAAATTAGTTTCGAATCTGCTTTACGTCAAGGGCAAGATCAAATTGATGCTTTGAGAACGCGGTAGCAATTTGAGGCAACAGCTGTTGAGGGTACACATTGTGCAAAGCACTGCCATTCGTACTGTGAAAGTTATGTCTGTCTTACTTTTGGAGTCGATCAGCAAGCACTATCTAACCGCTTCACTTGCTCCAATTTCCTCAATTTTTAGCTCATTTTCAAAGAAAACTGAAAACAGTTTGCGTTTTTGAGAAACCTCATTCAAAATAATTCAAAGCACTTGTACTCACAAATGTAATAATGTATTAAAATGTCCATAATGTCCACGAGATATTTAAAACGTACATTTGTGTACTTTTTGAAAAATTAAAGGAATGCGTCATGCTAATATGTCATATTATTAGGTTCATTTAACACTAACCTACAAGAAGTTTAAAAGTAACAATTTGGAGCAAAATTTTAGAAAATATAGTTGTTTTTTTGAGATGCCTTTATTTTACACACAATTACATAAAAAACTCATTTAAAATATACATTTTACTTCATTTAAAGACTTAATTTTAAAGAACAGATTTAATTCAGAAGAAAAATCGCCATCTTCGTTAGGGAGGTTGTAGGAAGACACCAAGGCAAGTTTAACCTTGTAATTTTCAAGAATTCAGATAATTTGACGAAATAGGACTTGCGTAATTTTTATAAGCCTACTTTGCTTTATCCAATAAAAAAGTAATCAACCAAAAATCAATCAAATTTGGAACCGCTTTTGGGAAAAAATTAAAAATATCATTCAGGACTCTTGTAAAGTACCCCCCAAAAATTAAAATTTCCGTTTCACATTCAAAGAACCGCAACATCAGACAGATCGATCAGGAAATATCAATTTTGATGAAAATCCTGTTCACAATTTGGCCGCTGGCGTTTTCTTACCGACGGACAGACAGCCAATCAGAGAGACGTTTTACTGTAAGTTTTTGGTAACAAGGACCCAGAAAACGAAGATTCTGACTACCGGACGTGTTAGAAGATGTATTTTACTACCAATAGGAACATAAATTAAGCAATTTTTCGGTATTGAGTACCTACAATTGGAATTTCACCGAAAAATCGCTGGTTTATGCAGCATTATATAACTTTCTATATAGTACGTATGTTGTGTAATGTGTATGTTGTATAACAGTTTACAAAATATTTCTTGTTGAATGCATTGCATCCACTTTTATATTATTTTTTTCCTTGATTTTGTTGAAAAATATTCAATTATCACAACCAGTGAAACACACTACTTTCATTTTTGAATTTTGTTTGACGTAATGTACATTTGGCTTTAAAACAAAAATAAAATACTTTACTCTTACAGGGAAACACACAACGTGGATTTTTGTCAAAAATCAGCGATCGATTTTTTGTTGTATTACTAGATTTTCTCTATGCAAGGAATACGAGAAACTACAATATTTCTGAACACTCTAGTAATCCATTTAATAATACATTATTTATCGTCTTGTGTATAATTGCTAGTGTATTAATATTGAAATGAAATGGAATAAAATCAAATCCGGTTATATACGATAAAATGATACTAGATCTTCTCGAAAAATGTTTTCTCGTTCGTTGTACGCAAGGTAAAACATTCATCTAATGAATAAAGTATTTTTATTGTAATGATTTTTGACCTTAATAAACAGACTGTAATTTTTTATAATAATTTGTTTATATACGTTCAGTGACATTTCGCCGTTATTCGGGGTCTTTTTCAAAAAAACTCTAAAAATGTAATCTAAGTTATATTCAAATTATGGAGAATTATCAACAAAATGATAATGCATATCAAATAAATAGATGCATTAAGAATAGTTGACCAAAAATAATAAGAAACAAAGTATGACTTACCCAGTGTCCAGGTTTGATTCACATATAAATAAACAGTAAGAATTTTTATAAAAAGTTGTCATTTGCATAAGAAATTGAACAAGTCGTCAGTTTCATCCGGTCAACTGGTACACCACAAGTGGCTTTTTTTAAAAAAAAAAATACACATTATTACACGGTGAAATATTCATTATAAAGTATTATTATACACTTTTAAAGTAAATTACTAGTGCACCTCGAAAGGTACGATGTATTACATTTTAAATGTGAAGTGAAAATCAATGAAATCCCAACATTGCCAAAGTGATAATAAACCTAACAATTACCTCTTTCTGTCCCCAGGATTGACTAACCTGAAGGTTCTCGACCTCTCAGACAACCGCTTGACTGCGCTGCCATCCAGTGTCTTCACCGACCTGAACTCCCTGGAGCGCATCCAGGTGGAAGGAAACCGGCTAACAGAACTGCCAGAATACAACGCCACTCATTGGCCTAATCTGAGTTACGCCTACTTTGAAAGAAACGATATAACTGAGGTACGATTACGTTCTGATCGTCTGTGCACTTTTAACATGATACGGGGCTCCTATCCTGGTTCGATATGACGTTTTTAAAAATAATTGGTTTCACTGAGAATGGAACGGCATTTTTGTCAGGGCTGGTAGCCTGCATCACAATTCCCATCAGATATCGTGTCTTTTTTACTCCAAAAATTCAAGAAATTATAGAAAATTGAGGGGTACGGGGTTCGGTATCGCCTCCCTGGGGTTTGATGAAATTGTCAAAGGGGGGAGGCAAGCCTAGAGCCGAATTTGGGTCGGCCATATATCAGTTGTAATCAAAATCCCGTTGATTACGAGACATAAAAAGAACTTGTTAATTAACTATTTTCCGATAAAAAACAGATAAAACATAAACTGTAGATTTGAAAATTGCTCTTCCTTCTTATCCATGTTTTATCCTTAGGTTCAGAGCTGCACCAGCGTTGCAGTTGCACTGGTGCAACTGGTGCGCCGAACCGGTCTCGCGGAGGCCCGGCCCTCTTTTTAAAGCGATCGATAAACGAAAAAGGTTGGGAATCCCTGCTCTTATCTATTATTATTATTGAGGTGAACATTAAATTAGGGTAGAAAAACTATTTCAGTTACGAACATATGTAGGTAAACATGTTCTATGCATATTTTTGGATTGCGATGTGACGAGGTCAGCTTTCGTTTAAAGAGAAAAACACCCAAATCAAAACCAGAAGTCATAAGAAGGTTGGTAATTTAAAGCGAGAAATTAATTGCTGTTAGGTCGTACAAGCGCAAGTATGAGCGTGCTGGTTTCATGCGCACATGGAGGGGATTTTTATCGGTGGAATTCTGTGATATGAGAATTTGGTTTTGGAAAACGTGCGCGGATCGTATGCGTGGTGGACGTTTGACTGTTGCCTCGTCAGTCTTCCTCGGAGGATTTTGTGGTCGTCGGGCGTGAAATCTTAGGTTGTCGTGGTTTGCGAACCGTGTATGTGCAGCTGAGCGAGGTGACTCCCTTTTTGCGAGCTCTCGCTCAAAGCAGTCTACGGTGCGGCCCGCTACTGGTCGAGCCCCACGCGAAATTTGGGGAGTGGTAGAATAAGTCTAGTGAAAGGTGAGTGGCACGCGCACCACTGCAACTACCGACAGTGAGGGAACAGGTCCCAGTTATTACATTCCATTAGGAGAGGCGCTAGGGCATGATTGTTGCAGTAGAGCAGATTTCTCCGAGTGCGTAGTGCTGCTGTTGAGGCCGCTGGTGTATGTTCAGCTGAGCGATTTGATCGATTCAACGTGCCTTGGCTCAACCCACATGGTTTTCACTTCTAGTTCAATCAGACTCAGACGGGAGGGGAGGAGAGGAGGGGCGCTCGGATGCAATTGTTTTATTGTAACAGTCTGTGCAATGGGAAGGAAATTCAGAATCAGCCCCATGGGAGGTGGGAGCAGATGCGCTGAGTGCGTAGTGCTGCTGTTGAGGCCATAGTGTGCGCAGCTGAGCGAAGAGATCGATTCAACGCGCCTCGGCGCACCGCACCGAGTATTCCCCTTCTAGTTAGATCAGCCACACGGGAGGAGCGCTTAGCCGCGATTGTTGTTACAAGAGTCTGCGCAATGGGAAGGAAATCCAGAATCAGCCCCACGGGAGGGAGGAGCAGATGCGCAGAGTGCGTAGCTCTGCTGTGGAGGCCGCTGGTGTACGTTTAGCTGGGTGGGAAATCCAGAACCAGCCCCGTCGCAGGAGCAGCAGAATGCGCAGAGCGTAGCGCTTGCCGTTGAGGCGTGGTGTACGTTTAGCTGTGGGAATCCGAACCAGCCCCGTTCGCATGGGAGGGGAGCAGCATCGCAGGAGGGCGTAGCGCTGCTGTTAGGCCGCTGGTGTCGTTAGCTGGTGGGAATCGCAGAACCAGCCCCGTCCAGGGGAGGCAGCAATGCGCAGAGGGGTAAGCCGCTGCTGTGGAGCCGCTGGTGTACGTTTAGCTGGGTGGGGAATCCAGAAACCAGCCCCGTCGCAGGGAGGAGCAGATGCGCAGAGTGGTAGCGCTGCTGTGAGCCCTGCGTGTACGTTTAAGCTGGTGCGAATCCAGAACCAGCCCGTCGCATGGGAGGGGAGCAGATGACGCAGAGGCGTAGCGCTGCTGTGAGGTCGCTGTTACGTTTAGCTGGGTGGGGGAATCCAGAACCAGCCCCTCGCAGGGAGGGAGCAGATGCGCAGCAGGTGCGTAGCTCTGCTTGTGGAGGCACCGCTGGTGTACGTTTAGCTGGGTGGGGAAATCCAGAACCAGCCCCGTCGCAGGGGAGGCAGCCAGATGCCAGAGAGGCGTAGCGCTTGCTGTTGAGGCGCTGGTGTACGCTTTAGCTGGTGGGAATCCAGACCACCCCGTCGCAGGGGAGGGAGCAGAGTGCGCAGAGTGCGTATTTAGCGCTACTAGCGCTTGCGGTGGAGTTCGCTGTGTACGTTAGCTGGGTGGAATCCAGAACCAGCCCCGTCGGCAGGGGAGGAGCAGATGCGAGAGGCGTACGCTGCCTGTGGAGGCGCTGGCGGTATGTTGAGCTGGGTGGGGAATTCAGAACCGCCCGTCGCAGGAGGGAGCAGATGCGCAAGGCGTAGCGCTGCTGTTGAGCGCGCCGGTGCGTGCGCGCTGAGCAGGCGTTGCGGCGCGCTCGTGGCTGGCGGGCGCGAGCGGAGTGAGCTTGCCGGCAACCCGCTGCGCGCGCCGTCGTCGCTGCGCTGGGCGCTGGAGGCGGGGGCGGGCGTCGTGGTCAAGGTGGAGCTGCTGCGGCGCTGCTGCGGCTTCCTGGAGAGCGGCGCGGCCGCCATCGGCTTCTGCTTCCAGAACGTGAGTCTCGCGAAATGATGTGGCTTCCAGAGTTCTTACAGCTCCGTAATTACTTTGAAATGATCACATGTCCAAGGAGAAAACAATGATATTTCGAAAGTAAGCTCTTAAGCATATTTTGTCTTATAAACTTCTTCGACATTTCGAATTGTGAGCCGCAATCAGCGCTGTAAAGTTGATTCAAAAAAATGGTTTCCATGCAAAAATTTGCATTTTAGAAACACGTGAATTGAATCATATGAAACTCCAGAAAAGCATTTCAAAAACATATGAACACACATTACATTTCGAAAAATATAAATTGTCATTATGTACAAAAAGAAAGAATGTATTTGTTTAAATTTAGCACAGAAATAAAAAAAACACCCAATTTACACAATTCAATTGCTTTTTTTATTTCTTTGTTAATTTTGCCTGCCATCTGACGGAATTAATTGTAACGGCCATTACCATTCCATGTTTTAGCGACCTCGTAGCTTTTACCAGTACATTGTCTAGTTGTGATTTGGTGTGATCCACGTTGCTTGGGTAAATCACTAAATGTGTAAAAACTGTTCCCAAAAGTTAAGTTTGGTATGTTTTAATAAATATAAAAACTTTTATTGTTGTTGTTTGATTTTCTCTTTACTCTTATTATGAAGTACCACAAGATTCCTACTCAACCAATTTATTTTCAAATATACTATGTGATCAAAAGTATCCGGACATGTGGCTGAAAATGACTTAGCAGTTCGTGGCGCCTTACATCGATAATGATGGGATTTAATAGGGTGTTGGCTCACAATTAGCCTTCACGACAGCTTCCATTATCCCAGGGAAACGTTCAATCAGGTGCTGGAAGGTTTCTGGGGGAATGACAGCCCTTTCTTCGTGGAGTGCTGCATTGAGGAGAGATATCAATGTAGGTCGGTGAGGTCTAGCACGTAGTCGGCATTTAAAAACATCCCAAAGGTGTTTGATAGGATTCAAGTCAGGTCTCTGTGCGGGCCAATCCATTACAGATATGTTATTGTCGTGTAAACAGGCCGCCACAGGCCTTGCAGTATGAACAGGTACTCGATCGTGTTGAAAGTGGGAATCTCCATCCCCGAATTGCTCTTTATCAGTGGGAACCAAGGTGTTTAAAACACCAACGTAGGCCTGTCCCGTGATATTGCCACACAAACCAAGCGGTGTAGCCACCCTCCATGAAAAAACACGACCACAACATTACACCATTTTGGAGGTGTCCGGATACATTTGATCACATATCAAATCCTTCATGTGTTTGTGTTTTCATCCTTCTAGGAATTCCTTTTATCTTTTAAATAGGAAAGTCGTTAATGCACAAGAAAAGTGACTATTTTAATTTTTTTTAACTTTCGAAAATCTTAAGCAAATAAACTTATCTAGACCAAAGCATTTAGATGACGATATTTGTCTATTTGTCATCAGCCTGCGCTTCTTACTGCCCGGCCCCGCACTTGTAACGCGCACATTTCCTGAGCAGCCCCCCCCCCCCGCACCACCCCCACTCACGCAGCGAGGGCGGTTTAATTGAATTTCTGCTAAGATCGTATGTGTTCTAGAATCTTTTCTTTGTTTTCAGCTTCGTATCTGATGCAGTCTCAGTCGGAGTCCTCAGTACACTAATTTGATTTTTGGAAATTGGGAAAGACAAACACGTTCACCACTCACATATCGCGGGTCCTCCCGGGACTGCAATTGTACGAACGAAAGTTATACTGGAATGATGACCAATCATAAATTACGCCTCAGCGCTTGTCTTGAAAGTTGTGTTATGATTGGAGAAACGTGTTTGCTATGATCAAGCCATGTAATAATTACTATCCTTATAAAACTAGCTGTAAAGTAATAAGAGAATATGGTGGTTACACATTGAAGTTTTACAAAATGAGTATTAGAAAAAAAGGTTAAAATCGCTGTTTGGGTTAAATTCATGACAATTCCTTTTATTGAAAGGAAAAAAATTACTTTGTAAATTTGTTTAGAATCAATAATTTTTATTTCAATAATATTATTCTGTGTGTATTTCTGTTTTAGTGCTCAGGTGACTGGAGAGATGAAGCAAGACAGGTTTGAAGCGGTCTCTCTTTGCCTCTCTTTGCTGTTCGAAAACCAATAACTCGGGCAGACGATTTCAGAAACTATCAAATAAACTACCGGAAATACTACAAATAACTTAGAATTGATAAATTAAATTGGGTAAGTTCGTCATATTATTTAAGTTGGTTTTAGAAAGTAGTTTTTCCACTTTTTACTATCTGTGACAATTTATTTTAATTTATAAAAATGGCTGAGAAAGTCAAGAAAGTGAAGAAGTCAAATAAGCTCAAATAAAGCGCTTTAAATACAGATTACAATGAGATAATCATACGTAACACCAGAAGTGCTTTGGAAATTGTCGATAAAATGTTCGAAAGCACGAGTGGTATTTAATAGGACTATTCCACGAGTGAAATTATGTCCAATAGAGTTGCAAAACGCGCCAAATTTTGAAAATAACTGAAAGCTAAGTTAATCAGAGGGGTTGAGCATGGGAATCAAAGAGGTCATGTTATACTACCTACACTGTTTATTAGACATCAACATAGCGATCGATGTATACCGCCTCCTAAGATAGATGGGTCATAGTTTATGATTGGCCAGTAGGAAGAAGCGATAAGAAAAATCGGATAGAAAAAGCGAGACACTTTTTTAGATACAATGCCCTGATTGGGGCATTTTGTATGTGTAGTTAATCACTATTGGTTTTAATTTCACGAATCGAATAGTCCTCATTTCATTATACGAGAGTAGAGTTTCTGTGATATATATTTTATTTCAGATTTCCCTCACTGCTCTTAAAACGAATCTTACAATAAAACTGAACAACATATGCATCGCCAATGATCTCTTGAAACATGAAGAGTGCATCTAAGAAGGAACATGGAAATCACATATTTTACCGATTGGACTGTCGTATTAGTTCTGCTACGAGTTTTTTACACATCGGTAAAACCCTCCATTTCAGTCATTCTTGGTATCTTGTGCAATGCACGATTGTGCATCGGAGTATTGTATGTTCTAAAACTTAACTTTTACCATATCGATTTGTAGGGCAAACAATGTTTCACATTGGGGAAGGGTTCCCATATGACGAATGGGTTGAAGCACAATCCTAAAGGTATTAACACCGAACACTATTCTATCACCGAGCGCAATTTTTACCAATCTATTCCGCATATTCTTAAAAAATACAATTTTCGCTAATCAATGAGCATTTGCTTTCAAAACGAGCTTATTTCATTATTTACCCAAATGAAATTTTTTGTATTTATTTCAAAGTTAGAGATTTTTTCATAATCACACGAGAATCCAGTTGATTACAACTAAAAATGTATCCACATATAATTTGGCGAGAACCTGCCCTGTTAATCAAGCCGCAGTTGAAAGCAAGCAGGTGTTCATTTTTCTAATAAAAGTATGACAGTAAAATGACATGATTTGTGTAGAAAATACCTCTGTTGTACATTTTTTTAACCTAGGTGAAAATATTACTGTATTGAAATTCTGATTCGTGAATCTATTTTTTCTGAATATGTTTTCTTGATTTTTAAATATACATTTTATGTTTTGTTTTGAAATATTGTTTACATTTTTATTTGATGTTTCATTTGTTATATTTATTTTCAAAATATTTACCTGTGCCTCGGAAAATATTTATCGTGTTTTATCCCTTAACGTGCCCTGGTTCACAATACAACTCTAGATGCCGTGGGATTCAAGAACAAAAGTGAACAATGGCAATGACATTTCTGGTCCGTAATTTCGCTCTTTTAATTTCGGGTGTCTGTGAAAAGATTGTTTTGGGGTAAAAACTGGTTTAAAACGTCTTCAAGAACACTATTGTACATAAAGAAATAAAGAAAGTGTGATATGCCATAAATGATATTGCAATTGCTCGATATGTTTCCTCGATAACTCAATTGTAATTCAGATTCTGCAATAAATTCTGGAATTTTTTTTCATTTTAAACAAACTGTTCTAATATTAATAAGTTTTGGCATCAATTTTTTTGGAATTAATGGGTTGCTCAAACTCGTTTGTTTCAATTTAAACACGGAAGCAGAAGGCCGCAGCTTTGTCAAGTAAAGCGTCAACTAAACGACAAAAGTTTTGTAGGTTATGAACCCGACTTCGCCTTTTCGGTTGTTCTTTATATTCTCGGGATAACGAGTCTATTACTTCACTTGGGGGCTTTAAAAGAGTTCGACTTCGTTTATTCTTCGTGTTTCACACTTGATTTGGATATCCGAGGACACCGACCTTCAACATAACCCGCCGATGCCAGCCTTACTACCACCCCTCCCCCGTGGCGCCCCCTCCCCTCCCCCCTTCTTGGAGCTCCTTGGTACCGCCACTGCCTGGGGGTAGCGCTGTTGGTCACAAATCAGTGCAGACCTCGGAGCCATGAAGCCATCGCAGAAGGTCGCAAGTGCATGTTGTCGGCTTCTGGCGAAGTAGCGTTCCGGCGATTTACCCAGGTGAGAAATTTCGGTCAATTCTTTTTCAGTAGAGTTTAAGATCATTAGAGCTATCAATCTGCATCCTTAGTTTTTAAGCTGTTTTCAACCAAACGCGCCGAGCGAAGAGGGGGTAGTGTTTTAAAGTTTTAAATGGGATACCTTGTGTCCCCCAGTAGCTTGAAAGGTTTGTCAGATTTTTGTCTGATGTCGTTGAATTAGTCTGAATTTCACGAGATATATTGTATAATACAAAATATTTCATATATTGTATGGCATAAGAGATTGTTATCCGAGGTGACTTAAGCAATAGGTATGTTTGAATAGCGAGAATATTTGTCATTGCAATGAAAGAGTATCTTATACTTTGCATCTTTGCGTCGCTACGTAAAAATCTATTCCTATTATTGATTCATGAATAAAATGAACGAAATCAGTGAATGGTGAAGCGGATTAAAAAAGATTGTAATAGAAAAATGCTATTATGAATTCACTGAAGCTAAGCGCATTAATGACTACCTCAAAACCTTCTGCAACAGTGTTCTCTTTCAATTCCAGTACTAAAGTCATTTAAGAACTTATTAATGAACTCTGATGGACAAATAGTGCAGATGTTTTTATAAACTTTGCATGATGACATTATAGCACTCGCAAAGAATTTAACTCCTAAGAATACAAAAATCTGTACATATTTCTTTGGTGTTCAAAATCCCCACCCCAACGTTTTACTGTGTAATTGAAGTATTTATCTATAATGTTAACACTAAAAATTGTATTTATCATGCTATTTTAATGACAGAATATGGTTAGTTTCACATTACTTTATATAATTTTAAATTCATTACGTAAACGTTATTTTCAAAATAAACAAATAAAATTTCTATGAACTCTACTCCATGCACAGAAAAGCCGTGTATGAGTTTGGAACTGAGCGAAAACGTTTGCGGCTGAAAGTTCGCGTGTAATTTCCCATTTGAACCTTCATAACTTTCATTATCGTTCATACCTTAGTGATTACGGCACTAACACGCAGTGGAAAGTAATGATCAAGCAGCCACTACAGTAGACGTCTTTGCGGGAAAACGGAAGGCATGAAGACGATAAGCCGTCTTCCTCTCAGGGACCATCTTTGGGGTTGAGGAAATTCATTCATGTTAGTATCATAGAATGAAGACTGACGAGACTCGACTCCGGTGTTGAAGGTATGGTGAACGATGGTGAATGAATGTTCAAGAACTGTCAGCAACTAATAGTGCTGCTAGTAAAGTGCGCAGGTTTTCTTCCAGCGACATCACGCAGCAGATTAAGAAACTAGCCTCAGCTATTCTGGGGCCAATATCGATACACGTTCTCAACCCGTTAGTTTGGTGGCCATTGGTCAAAAAATGCAAGAAATGTCTCTTCATCCACAGCGAGATCTTTCTGAAAATGGAGGTGTACAGTTTGGATGTGGATGGATTACGTACGTACATACCCCCCACTGAAGGAGTTGAATCGGTGACCGACCTTCCAACCACGTCGCACTGCAGAATGTTCATGGTTTGAGAGAACGCTCAGAGAGCGCAGCACTGTTTCCTGTTTGAGAACGGGCTGTGCTTCTCCCCCACGAGATACCGACGTTTGATTCGTGCCTACACTCTTTCGAGCCTACACTCATATCTAATAAGTGCTGTGTTAACGAATGACCCTCCAATAGTTGTTAAACATATTTAATACTATTTTTTAAAATAAAAAAGTATGAAAAATAAATATGATTAAACAATATGCAAAAATTGGCATAACGGGGTGATGTGTCGCACATCATAGGATACTATTTATGCTATGGAATGTTGCTTGATGCATTTCAATATTGTACAATTCAATAACAAACTGAAACTATTTAATTTGTAGTATTTTTCAATGTAATTATAACTGTTTTCTGACTTACATATATGTTTAATTTTTTTGTTCTAATAATGTTGAATTCATAGAATGTGAATTGATAGAATTTTCTTTACATTTCAACATCACGACTGGAGGGGGGGGAGTCAGTGAAAGTAGGAATAAAGGCCCCCCGTAATTAACCTAGGCCCAAGGTCCTCAATGCTGTTCTAATGACCCTACCTATAACGACAGAAATTATTTCTTATGAACACTTATAAATCGACCATATTATCAAGAAGTATCGTTAGCATTTCTAAGCGACATGGTTTTATTTTAAAGATCAAGAATAGCTCTCGGAATAACGGACGACAAAATTCTTCTGCTTCCAACATCTTTAGTCGAATGTCTAGTTTTTCAAATGTTGCTAATCTAGAGATTTTCAATTTTGTTTATTTTGTTTGTTTTATTTTTTAAACTTTTATTCATCCTTCAACTATTTATAATTAAAATGTTGGGAAGGTATTCTGAAGCTTAAGTAAACGTGCGCAGGTGATCTTTTCCGCCATACATCACAAACAATTATTATTGTTTTTTGACTAAACAAATCAAATAAATCGAGTTAATCATCTTTAAATTCGGTTTTCGGCCAAACGATATGCGGGGCGTGGTCGAGGAGTACGGTAATATTTGCGGGCTCGCGGATAATGTGGGTATGGTAGGTATCCTATAACGACACGCAAATTTCCGAGTGGTTAAAATTCCTACTCGGAATTTCGAGTGAGAGAAATATTCCATTCACGTCACTTTCCAGAAATGAACGAAGTTTTTCGTTTTTGCGTCGACTCGAAACGTCTATACGATCAACTACGTTGCAATATCGGCTCAACAGCTCTGCGATATACATGTTTATAGCGACATGACTGACAAAATCGATTTGCAAAAATTGTTAAAGTTATTTAAAAAATGCAAAGCCAAGGACTGTTTTTGCATTGCAAGAATTAACAACCGAAGTAACATAAAATAAATGCGATAACAATTTAATGGTAAACATGACAATTTGAATAAAATCTGTTTTATACGTTTTCCTTTGTTTACATTTTCGCTGGGAGATGAAGGCTCGGGGGGGGGGGGGCACCCGGCCCAACTCGGACTTAGCAGCAATCGCTTGCCCAGAATATGTGCGAATGATTCGCATTGACTCTATGAACATTGGCTAATTGTCGCCAATTTAGCACAAACACAATTTATTAGTTGCGAGATATATTGCACTTAAAATTTTCTTTTGAAATAAATATAATTTATTTGAATTATCCCTTAATTTTTTCGGAAATTTCATTGAAAGCGAAATAAAACTGAATATGCAGGTTATTTGATAGTTGATGGTGTGAATTGCTTGTTGACCTTTTATGTCCATGGGTTTGCTTTTAATTTATCGATAAAAGAAATTACATTAATATTATCATATGCTTTTCGGCATAATTTATCATTTTTTGGAAGATTCTTTCGTGGTGAAACCACAATAGAGAAAGTCTTCCCTGGAAACTGTCACCAACTTCACTCACTGCACTCGAGAATCCCGATGATAGTCTCCCAGCACTACATCTCATCTGGCATGTTCCTCTCCTCATTCATGTGACAGTAGCTTCGACACTCATTTGTGCGACACAAAAGTGAGGGCGTGGTCGGGGAGTAAAACGCAGAAATGATTGCTCTTCATTTCACAACCTTTGGCGTCAGGGCCACATTGACCTTTGCGAGGTCACGAAGCTGTCTCCATGTGGTGACTCTTATAAAATCCCTTCGTTAATCAATGCTGGGTGGAATCAATTTTTTCTTCTCAGAAAATGAATCCAAAATACTATTATTTGTGAACAAAAATATCTAATTCGACTTACACTTTTGAAGAAAAATTTACATGGATGTTACTATAGTAATGTATACTAACTATATATGTATATATGTATATATGAATATATGTATATATGTATATATGTATATATGTATATATGTATATATGTATATATGTATATATGTATATATGTATATATGTATATATTCTATGCAGATCCGCTAAATCGACTTATACGCAGCTTCCCCAATTGATCCACGCACATCCTTCACTTGATTGACTTGCTCAAGATACCCCAAATTATCGTAATATATTTTGTGGTCGCCTTCGTTCCCCGCAAGGCTAAATATTGTCTACACTGTACACTTCCTTGTGGTCTTTCCATATTTTGACTTGCTTGAGGTCTTTTTCGAACGACCTGCTCAAAATCTCCCTCTTGATCGAATTTGAAATCCTCCGCGTCCTCCTTGCGATCTTCGACTTGCGATCAGAGACTCCACTTGATCGCCTCGCGCTAAAATCCTCCGCTGAATTTACTAATACTCGAGGAATAAGAGTAGAAAAAATAATTTAAATTACAAGGAAATGGTATGAACGGTTGGAGGGTTTTCACAATTAATAGTGCACAACCCAATAAATTATAGTAAATAAAGAAGCTGGTAAGAAATTACATGAATGGAAAACACTTTTTAACACAATACTAGAACTTATCTAGACCATTAAACGTTCAATAACATAAATAGGGAAATATATAATACAATATAACTTCCATTTTAATTTTG